CTGGAAGACTGCCCATAATTCAGAGGGAGGATAGAGAAACAAGTTTATGTTTGGAGGCAAGAACAGGGAAGGTGTTTGCTGTCATTGACTGTAGGGTAGTTGTGAAGTTTGACATGCCCAGAAGCTACAGAATGCCATGTGGGGCCCCATACACTGCATACCTCAGTTTTCATCATCTGGTGAGCCTGCAGCAGGATTTCCAGGCACTGGAGTCGACAACATGTCTACTTTGGTTTGGAACTGATTGATCCACGGAACAGAACATGCTTGTGGGATCTTCCTTTGCTATAGAACGACATAAATGATTGAAATGTTTTCTTTAGGAAAAAGAAAAGTATTATTTGTTTATAGACCTTACTGCTTATGGGAAAGAAATTGTCAAATAGTAATGCAAGCAGAGTTTGCTGGAAACTTTCACGTTAGACTTGTGAATTATTATCTTGTTCAACTTTGGCATATTAGAAATAAAAGTGGGAAAACACAATTAGGAGGAAGCAGGGGTGGAAGGAAGTTTTTTTCCTTTTCTGTATCTCTTAAAAAGGGCAGTGGCATATAATAAAAATGGCACCTCAGGATTTGCAAAATGACAGAAAATTTTACTCTGTGTTGCTATAGATTGCTATGGGGGAAGAAAAGGGAAATACTAGAATTGATGAACAAATGTTGCATGCTGTCATTTTAGATTACATTATTTTACCATGTAGTAATTCCTAATTTTCGTTTTAGAAAAATAGTGCAAAATGCTTATGACATAGAAAGTAATGTTATAAATCTGTTAATTGTGTTAATTATGTTTTAAGTATGTTTATTCTGACATGGAGTTCTATGAGCAGGAATAAAAAACATTATTTTCTGGCTTTGGGGGGGATTAAAAATTCTTCTCTGACCTTTTAACCTTGTCAAATGATTTCTCTGCTCTTGACATAGTGCATTATATTTGCAAAGGTTGGAAGTTAACTCTTCAAGGTACCAGACATCATTTTTATTGGGATATTAATTCTCAGAGGTGCTAATCTCATCAAGATTTGTAGGCATTTTCTTTCATAGGCCATTCTGATTTGTAGCTCTTTCTTTTCACAGCAGTATTAAATACCAAACCTTCTCTGATATGGAAGTTCATTAGAGATATGTCTTTGATGGCAGCCCTTTCCTGGCTTCAGTTTCAAATACCTTGATGTAAAGCTTAAGAAGCCATTGTGTTGTAAGCCCTCCTTGATGTGCCTTATTTAGATCTGCATAGTAAATCAAGGAAAGTAAATAACAAGGCAGCAGATGGAAGCATGGAGATAAGACCAGTGAACAATTGTATTTGTATTTTGTTATGATGTTGACAGGAGCTAAAATTCACTAATCTAGTTCAACTGATCTGCATTTCAAAGAAATCTCATTTAGCAGCAACTTGAAGGTTTGTAGGATAAAGTTCTTTTATTGCAGCTTTTATTGCATTCTTTGCTAATTTATCTGGTCAAGATTTAGCCTTGCTTACTTAAAGCTGCAAGCATGTTACAAGGAGTCTTAAATACTAGGAAAGCATTAATGTCTAGACTATGAACCAAAGGTAATTACATATCCAGCCTTGAATAGGGTACATTTAGAAAATACTGTTGTCCAAACTCAATTGTCAGGGCAATATAGATAAGGTAGTGGTTTTTTTTTTCCCCCTTCTGCCTGTTTGTTCTGAGATTTTTTTTTCTACTTCATAAACAAGCTAATATACAGTCAACTACTCATAAACTATTCACAAAATAAGTAGATCTCTTTTAATATGAATCTATTGATGCTGATATTGGTTGTACTTTTTGGGGAATAGAAGATTATTAGTTTTGGAGGTCTGATAACCTTATTTGACTCTGCAGTTATAAACATGTATAATATATAAGTAAATGTTTAATGTGAACTTGAAAGTGATATGAAAAGCATACTCTGTAGAGAACATGTAAAAAGAGCATTAATATTTTCTAATTTGATTACATATGCTATTCAGTAGAAATTAATTATTTTAGAATATGTTTAGAGAAATTAAGTATTATATGGGGTTTTTTGTTTGTTTGTTTTTTTGAAACAGGGTCTTGTTCTCTTGACAGGGCTAAAGGGCTAAAGTACAGTGGTATCATCATAACTCACCTTGACTACTGGAGTCAAGCAATCCTCTTGCCTTAGCCTCCAGAGTAGCTGTGAATACAGGAATGTATCACCATACAGACTAATTTTTCCTATTTTTTGTAAAGATGGGGTCTCACTATATTGTTCAGGCTGGTCTGGACCTCCTGGCTTCAAGTGATCCTCCTTCCTTGGCCTCCCAAAGTGCTAGGATTATAGGTGTGAGCCATTGCATCCAGCCCTGTATGTTTATATTTATATATTAAGTAAATTTTGAGTGAATTTTGAGTATATTACTTTGGAAAGAAAAGACTACTGGATTTAGGACAATTATCCTGAGCTCAGATCCCATCTCTGCTATTTATACCTTCTCAGATATTGGATAAATTATTTTCTTCTATGAAATTCTTCTGTGTATTTTGGGGGTTGAGCCAGAGGCTCCTAAAGTCATCCTAGTTAGAAGATCTGGTCATTCATTTACAACTTACTTTATGTCAGGAACCAGTCTTAACCCAATGTTTATACAGATAAGTTCTCTTCCCTCAAAATAACTCATGTATATATTCTATTTTCTAAAAATTTACTGCTAATGCAATTAGAATTTGGAAAATGATTTAGTACTTCCTTTTCTAAGTCTTAACAACTCCTTGAGTAATGCCAGGTATGTTGCCAGTTTGATCTTACTTTCCATTAGACACACAGAATTCCTTGCCTTATGAGAGATTTATTACAGCATGTAAAACTAATTATTAATATAATATAGCACAATTTTCATGAAAACATCTGTAATTTTGTCTTGGGTTCTAAATTTTAATGTTGACTGAGAACTTTAGAGTAGGTATTTAAAACCTAGTGTTTTATTTTAGTACCTCAGGACAGTTTGTTTACTAAGTTTTCCAAAGAAGTAAGTCAAATAATGACTTGGTTGCTCTACATGAGACATATTTCTAGCAAATTTTTTAGAACTTGAAAATACTAAAGACATTTAAGAGTCAGTAGAAGATAGATGAGCAAAAGAAAGGATGGAAAATTGCATTTTCAAGCTAAATTAATAAAAGTTACAGCTCTAAGGTAATAAAAGTAAATGGCAAGTATTTCTCAAAACATAAATGGATTGTATAACAAAAGATTGTTTTATTGGCTGCTCAGAATTCAAACCAAGGTTTCCTTTAGAAACCAAGTTGAAGATGGTTGTTAGGTCACAGGCTAGCCTATCCATTGTATCCTCATGTTAAAAAAGGGTGGTTTAACCGGGCGTGGTGGCTCAAGCCTATAATCCTTGGACTTTGGGGGCTTGGGCGGGGGGGTTCCTTTGGGGTTGGTTTTCCGGCTTGGCTTGGGCACCTTGTTAGGCCTTGTTTTTCCAAAAAACTAGAAAAATTATCTGGATTTGGTGGCATATGCCCATAGTCCCAACTACTACTTGGGAGGCTGAGGTAAGAGGATCGTTTGAGTCCAGGAGTTCAAGGTTGCAGTGAGTTATGATGACACTACTGCACTCTAGTCCTGGCAATAGGGTGAGACCTATGCCCCAACCAAAAAATCAGAAAAGAAAACGGTAGTCCATGTGCTTTATAGAACTTGAAAACATTATTTGTTGGATATTATTTTTTAAGTATGAAATTAGTCATTAAATCTTAAAAATTGCATTTCTCTTTCTCATATGCATGCACATAATGATTTTCCAGTTTCTCTTGAAATTTCAGATTTGGCAAGACTAAGAATGTATTCCTACAAAGCAGTAATGAAAATTATCTGATGGGCATTAAGTAACACCTCTTTAGAGACTTTACCATAGTACCCTACAACTTTCCTTTATTTTGCACCCAGCTTGATTTATACTTTTGCCTTTTGGTATTTTATTTTGTGACTGTCATAATGTAAAATATTTGAGGTTTATCATATCCTTCTAGTAATATTTGCCTTGAAATCACTGCCAGCAACAATTTTTGTAGGCAAAATAGGTTGTGATTACAAACAGCAGACCGCTAACAGATCTGTTATTCTAGTGAATTTGGATTACTCCCTTATCTTCTGTGGCCTTGGAATCCTGTGCAGGACTTTAGTCCCTCCATAACTGCTCGTTGCTTCCTTGGTTTGAGAAGAACATTATCAAATTTATATTTCAGGGGGAAAAAAAGTGCTTAGGTTGTGTTGTGGAGTGGGGATCAGAAGAAGTTAAGATTGAAGGAGGGTGGGACCAGGTAGGAGATTGGATAACCAGTAGGTACTTTAAATCTGCTGGTCAGGAGAGAGATGTGGACTGGCTATGTACATTTGAGAATGATTTACAAGTAGTGGTTGATACAAGAAATAGAGGAAAGATTAAGAAAAGAAGAGGACTAGAATGAAGTGTTGGGACAACTGACATTGAGGAAGTACATGTAAGAATAGGAACCAGCAAAGACTGAAAAGTGGAGGTCTGAGAGCTATGAGAAGAATGAAGAAAGGGGTGCCATGCAAACCAAAGGGAGTATTTTAAGAAGGAAAGCATAAACTATAAGCTAAATGAAGCAGAGAAATTAAGCAAACTAAGAATTAAGAAATCACATTTGGATTTTTCAGCTAGAAGGTGTTTCTTGTCCTCATGACAAAATGTTTAGCTTCAAGAATGTGAGGATTTTGGCCGGTGGCTCACGCCTGTAATCCTAGCTCTCTGGGAGGTTGAGGTGGGTGGATTGCTCGAGGTCAGGAGTTCAAAACCAACCTGAGCAAGAGCGAGACCCTCTCTCTACTATAAATAGAAAGAAATTAATTGGCCAACTAATATATATAGAAAAAATTATCCGGGCATGGTGGCGCATGCCTGTAGTCCCAGCTACTCAGGAGGCTGAGGTGGTAGGATTGCGTGAGCCCAGGAGATTGAGGTGCTGTGAGCTAGACTGACGCCAAGGCACTCACTACCCTAGGCAACAAAGTGAGACTCTGTCTCAAAAAAAAAAAAGAAAAAAAGAAGAAGAATGTGAGGATTTAGTAAACCCTGGGACCATTTATGTGAATTTATTAATGTTAAGAGAATGAAGTCTTGTTCCTTCTAATCCCAACAAAAGAGCTTTATCATGTAACGGCCTCATGGCAAACAACAAAAAAGAAAAACAGTAATTTGTTTATAGAAATAAATAATCAAATGAAAAATGAATAATATTAATACATTAATGATACTTCGGGTGGATATATAAAGTTAACATCCAAATTAGGACACTTTTGAGAGGGGAGGGATTGGGCACTCAAATTACAGTTTATATTTATTCAGTGCTAGCTATGTACCAGATACTAAGATGAGTTTTCTAGCTAGCTTTAGTTGCCAACATTATTCCTTCTTAATATATGTTAAATTCTTTGACAATGTACTATACATAATTCTGCTGACCTTAACTCTTTATTTAAAAAAAAATTGGTACCCACTATATAACAAGCTGTGTCCTAGGGGATGAGGAAATGAAGATGATTAATATATAGTTCTGGTTGTTAATGATCTATCAGTGTGGTTGAGAGAGTCTGCAAACAAAATTTCAATGTAATATGGTAAAGTGCCATGAAGATAGTATGGTTTCTGAAGATCCCAGCTAGTATTTTAGTATATTATGTGATATATCTTTTAGGGTTAAGATTATAATATATTTGAATTTTGCAAGAAAGATTTTACTTTTGAAAAGAAGTTTAGCAAAAGAAAAGACAGGGTACAGCTAATTGTACATATAAGTGGTTTCTTTTCTGTCATAGAAAGTATATTGGGTGTGTATGTGCATTGTTCAGTTCTTTGTCACAAGGGGATGCATTTTCATATCTGTAATTTTAACCACACTCAAGTTATATGCTGTGAAGAGTCTGGCATATTCCTCTGACACATCTGGTAGATATGGATGGCATTAATTAGCATAGGTATTGCTATAAATGACATGCCAGTCCAGGACAACAAAAAGTGTTTGTTACTGATGTCAATCATTTATCCTTTGTCAGTTCAAAAGGCTTCCCTAAAGGAATGTGCATTGATCTGCACTGACCCAAAATACTGCAAAACCATTTCTGTGTCCTAGAAACCAAAGCAGACTACCTGTGTATGAACAGCTATATGGAAATATTCATATAGAAAGTGCATGTTGATAAGTTTCTGTGGTAAGACTTTTTAATTAGGCCAAGATTAGTTGAATCTTTGGAAAATAAAACTAACTAGCAACTGTAATAAAATCTATACCAGAGTGGGTTTTCTCCCTCAATGGCTTTAATTTTTGGTAATCAAATTTGTGTTTTGTTTTACCTTGAAATAATTTTGAGTTATACTGTGTAAATGATTGCAAGTACTACTTATATTGGTTAAAAAGAGAAGGGGATCACACAAGTATCAGATAAATGTAATCAGATTTGTAATCAGATAAATGGTTTAAAGAGCTGCTCTTTGCCCATATATATTTTAGTTTTTGTACTTAACTCTTCTGTTATAGTTATTGATTGGCTTTGTTTACTATTTTACCATAATACTTTATTTTTAAAAAATAATAACCACCAGTGTAATGTGTTACGTTTCTGAGCAAAAACTGATTTTAAAGTGCTTTCACGCAGATTTTCCCCAAACATTTATATTTTGCTTCCAATTTTACCTGATATGTAAATGTCCCCCCCTACATTTTAATTTAGCATTTAGTGGAAGGGAATATGAATGATTTGAAGATAAGGCAAGGGGGGTGATCCAGGGTATGGCATATGTGGAAGACATTTATCTTAATATTTAATTTTAATGAGGCAAAAAATACTCATCATTAGAAACCTACATTTTGATAAAATTTTTAGAATAGAATTCAGTCTCTTAAACTTATGAATGTTCATACCACTAAAGGTCAGATACTCACACATCACAATTCTGTGTCCTTGTAAAGAAAGGTAGGATGTATTGTGTTTTTACATCTTATACATTTGTTAGAGAGTTAAGATGAAACCAGATTTAGAACATACCCATGTTATATACTCTAATTTGCCCAATATGCCTTATGGGAACAGCAGTTTCCCAACCTTTGTACCATTTTAAAAATTCTTGTTTCAGATTTCTTGCCATCTTACAGACTCTGTACTGTCTGGTTTTGGTCTGTCTTATGCTTTTAAAGTCATCTTTTTTTTATTATTCCATTAAATTTTTTAAAAATGGATTTCCCTTTACACTTTTCTAATCATCCTGTAATGCTTTAGCCCTAAGACATTAAAATGAATGAGTAAAAATATTTGATACCTAATCGTCTCTGCCAGTCCACTCAAACTCATGGATTTGCAAAATTATGTTAGTCTTTTAAAAATACATTTGAGAGGCTTTTGTAGTCATTTGGATTTTGAATATTAATTTTCTCTTGCTATGCTGCTTAGACATAAAAATGAAAAAGAAGATAAATGTGGGTTTCTTTTAGTGGTGTTAATTTAAATACTAGATTTATTTATTATAATGTTTAACAAGGCAACTCCTATATTTCTCTTCACTTCAGATCCAACAGATAATAATGGGAAGCTCCCACTCCCCAGTATAAGAAGAAAAATGTTTGATGCATTTTGTAATAATTGATTAAAAGTATAATTTCCCCCTAGATCAAACAAATAATAGAAGTCTGTTGAAGCTTTGTCCTGACCTATTCTGGAAGTAGAAGAATCCCCTGGAGAAAGGATCATTGTAAGCACAAAGAATAAGATTTCTCGATCCTGGGAGAGAGAATAAAAGTCTAACCCCCCAAATGTAAGTTATCTGTACTCTATATTTTTCATCCCTAAGTTTCTGTTGCTATTCAGGTTTTAGTAGAAAATAATATCATGACAATATTGCCTGGAATTTTTTTCCTCTACACAATATGGAGGTAATTTGGTCAGTAGTTTTAAATTTGGATTTGTATAAATGTTTACTAAATAATAACATAATGTTATACCTTACAATAATATTTTATGCAAATATTAATTGTATTTTCCAGTAGATAACTTTTAAGAGTTTTGACAATATTCTAATGAAAAGAAGGTAATTTTTTCTGATTGAATATCTGTAACTGTACCATCATAATCTCTTTTTTCTCTAAACTTTGGTTCTTTCTCTTGATATATTTCATCATATCTGAGAATAAGACTATCTTAATATGTCTACTTGAAAATACCACCAAATAAGAGATTTTTTTCACTTTGCATAGTAAAACTGAATTGGACTGAATTTGTAACCATAGTCTACTATAAAAATGTATCAATTTTATCCGCTCAGCATACTGGAAAGACTGATTCCTTATATGTTAGGAAAAACTTAAAAGATGTGTGTTAATGATTATATAGAAACATAGAATTCAGCTACTATTCAGAAATTGGAAGATGGAAGGATGATTGAAGCCAATTCTTATTTTAAGAAAGCTTATTTGGGAAGAAGTGTCTTGTTCTTTGTTACCACTTTTATCTGGAAAGATACCTAGTGCATCATCCTTGTGATAAGACATTTGATATGTAATATACTGACTTAACTGCCAGAAATTTGACTTTTGCTTAATAATTTATAATTTTTTCATTCCTGAGTAAAAGAACTCAATGATAGAGTATTTTGGTTTTTAAATCCAAATTATGCAGTAGAAAAATGAATACTTATTAGATTTGAATACAACCAATTCATATATTCCCCAGTTATCTCCAAAATTGACACCTGAGTCTTTACAGGTTTTGAATGTGATAATGTGATATTCTTATTGACATAGCATCTGTCAAGTGGTCAAAATGGTCTACAGTTGAAAAATCTCTATAATTTCTAAGTTCATGTTTTATTCTGTTATTGAAACATTCTGATAGAGTCACTAAACACTGTGGTCCTTCCTGACAATCTGTAATTAAGATTTGCACAAACTATGAATTTAGCAGAAACTATCCATACAAAAAGAATTTTTTTTTTTTTTTGGTTTTGGACTTAGACATTCAGGTCAAAACTTTTTTTTATCACTGAACTAGATAGAGACACATTGGAGAAATGACTATAAACATTATTGTTCCTTTCACTGGCATAATACAATTGCTCTTCATTTAAACCTTTAATTTTTATTATTGAAAAGTATGATAAAACTTTAAAAAGTTATTTAAATTTGGTGACTCGATAGTGAACTCCCATTTATTGGTTTGAGGCTGATGAAAGATCCAGAAATAATGTCATTCAAAGAAAATATTTGCTGACCCTTTGCTGTACAGAAAGCAAAATTAGTAAAATATAGCACAGTAATATGGTTGCATCTGAGAAATGTAATGCCCATACACAAAAGAATTACATTGTATCATTTATTTTATATGAAGTTCCAAAACTAGATTTTAGTGTTTGGGGATGCAATGAGTAATTACAACAAAATTGGGATAATGGTTAAATCATAGGTAGGTGTTAAATTGAGGTAGAGGTTCCAGGAACTTCTGAAATGTTGGCAACATTCTATGTATTCATCTGGCTGCATGGATACTCGCTTTCTGAAAAACCACTGGTGAGAAACTAGATGCTTTTCTGCTAAGATCAGGAACAAGATAAAGATGTTCGCTCTCACTACTTCTATTCAGGATTATATTGGAAGTCCTAGCTAGGGCAAGAAGACAAGAAAAAGAAATAAAAGACATTCAGATTGAGAAGGAAGAAATAAAATTGTCTGTTCACAGACAAAATGATTGTCTATATAGAAAATCCCAGAGAATCAGCAACAATAACATAAACTCCAGAAACTAATAAGTGGTTAGTATTCTGCAAGTTTGCAGAACACAAGGTTAATATATAAAGGTCAGTTTTTCCTATATATCAGCAGTGAACAATTGAGGTTTGAAATTAATAATATAACACCATTTATATTAGCACCAAAAGGAAGAAATACTTAGGCATAAATCTAACAAAATATATATAATATCGATTTTAGGAAAATGGTAAAACTCTGATAAAATAAAATCAAAGACCTAAATAAATGGAGAGATATTCCTTGTCTATAGATAGATGATCTCAGTATTGTTAAGATGTTAAGTATTCCTAAATTGCTATATAGATTCAACACAATTCCATTCAAAATCCCAGCAATTTAATTTGTAAATATTGACACTGATTCTTACGTTCATATGGAAAGGCAAAAGACCCACATCGGCCCACACAATATGGAAGACTAAGAACAAAGTCAGAAGACTGACACTCCCCAACCTCAAAACTTAATAAAGCTATGGCAATAAAGACAATGTTGTGGTGTTGAAAAATAGACAAATAGATCATTGGAACAGAATAGAATACTCAGAAATAGACCTACATAAGTATTGTCAATTTATCTTTGACAAAGGAGCAAAAAGCAACTGAATGGAGAAAGAACCGTCTTTTCAACAAATAGTGCTAGAGCAACTACACATCCACATGTAAAAAAAATGAATCTAAACACAGACCGTATATCTTTCACAAAAGTGAATTCAAATGGATCATGGAGCTAAGTGTAAAACACAAAACTGTAAAACTTCTAAAATATAACATAGGAGAAAATCTAAGAAACCTTGCATTTGGTGAGGACTTTTTAGATACAAATACAAAAGTGTGATCTATAAAATAAAAATTTGGTAAGTTGGACTTCATATAAATAGAAAAACTTCTTTGAGAAAACTTCTGCTTTGAGCCTGAAAAGACAAGTCACCCACTGAGAGAAAATATTTGCAAACCACATATCTGATAAAGGACTTGTATCCAAAATATACAAAGAACTCTTAAAACTTAACAAGAAAATATATAAACCAATTAAAAAATAGACAAGAATTCTAAACATGTACCTAACCAAAGAAGATATAGAAATAGAAAATAAGCATAAGAAAAGCTTAATTAATATTGTATATTGTGAGGAAATTACAAAATAAAACAAATTACAAAATAAAATGAAGTACCACTACAGACCTATTATAATGGCTAAAATGGCAAGTGTATTAGCATTATTTATCCAGTAGCATGTGCTCACTTCATGTTTCTGCATCACATTTTGGTTATTCTGACAAATTTCAAACTTTTTCACTATTATATTTGTTATGTTGATCTGTGACCAGAGATCTTTGATGTTACTATAGTAATTGTTTGGGGTTGCCACAAACCATGCCCATAAAAGACAGCAAACTTGATTGATAAATGTCATGTGTGTTCTGACTGCTTCACCAACCAGCCATTCACCAATCTCTCTCCTTCTCCTTGGGTCTCCCTATTCCCTGAGACCCAAAAATTTGAAATTAGGCTAATTAATAACCCTATTGGCCTCTAAGTGTTCAAGTGAAAAGAAGGGTCACATGTCTCTCACTTTAGATCAAAAGCTAGAAATGATTCAGCTTAGGGAGGAAGGCACGTGGGATAGTATGATAGGCCAAAAACTAATCCTCTTGTGCCAAATAGTCCAAGTTGTTAATGCAAAGGATAAGTTACTAAAGGAAATTATTAATAAAAGTGCTATTCTAGTGAACAAATGAATGGTAAAATAGTGAAACAGACTTATTGCTAATATGAAGAAAGTTTTAATGGCTTGGATGGAAGATGAAACCAGCCACAACATTTCCTTAAGCCAAAGCCTAATTTAGACCAAGTCTCTGACTCTCTTCAGTCCTATTGAAGAGACTGAGATAGGTGAGGAAGCTGCAGATGAAAACTTCAAAGCTAGCAAATATGGTTTATGAGGTTTAAGGAAACATGCCATCTACATAACATAAAAATGAAAGGTGAAGCAGCATGTGCTAATGTAGAAAGTGCAGCAAATTATTCACAATATCTAGTTAACATCACTGATAAAGGTGACCACACTAAACAACAGATTTTCAGTGTGAAACAGGCTTCTGTTGAAAGAAGATGCCATCTAAGACTTCCCTAGCTAGAAAGGAGAAGTCAGTGCCTGGCTTCAAAGTTTCAAAGGACAGGCTGGCTTTCTTGTTACAGGTTAATGCAGCTGACAACTTTAAGTTGCAACCAATGCTTATTTACCTTTTCAAAAATCCTAGTACCCTAAAGGATTATGTTAAATCTACTCTGTCTGTAATCTATAAATGGAAGAACAAAGCCTGAATGACAGCACATCTGTTTATAACACGGTTTAATGAATATTTTAAGCCTACTGTCGAGACCTGCTCAAAAAAAATCCTTTCAAAGCATTAATGTTCATTGACAATGCACGTAGTAACCCAAGAACTTTGATGGAGACATACAAGGACATTAATGTTATTTTCATGCCTGTTAATACAATATTCATTCTACAGTTCATGGGTCAAGGAGTAATTTTGAATTTAAAGTCTTAATGTTTAAGAAATACATTTTGTAAGGATATAGCTGCCATAGATAGTGATTCTTCTGATGGATCTGGGCAAAGTAAATTGAAAACCTTCTGGAAAGGATGCACCATTCTGGTTGTCATTAAGAACACTCATAATTCATGGAAGGAGATAAAAATATAATAGTCATATGAGTTGGAAGAAATTCATTTTCAACCCTTCTGGATGACTTTGAGGGATTCAAGATTTCAGTGGAGGAAGGAACCACAGATATGGTGAAAACAGCAAGAGAAGTAGAATAGGAAGTGGAGCCTAAAGATGTGACTGAATTTCTGCAATTTCAGGATAAAATTTTCATAGATGAGGAATTGCTTCTTATGGATGAGCAAAGAATGTTGTTTCTTGAGATGGACTCTGCTCCTGGTGAAGATGCTGTGAACATTGTTGTCATGACAACAACAGATTTAGAATATTATATAAACTTAG